CTCTGCTCACTTGCTTGATCTCCTGTTATTTATCTCAAGAGACTGATTTAAGACACACCATACACTAATGCTGCCTCATGTAGCAAACCCATTCCCAAATGGGAGTATAACCACAGGGACACAGGTTAGGATTGACAGCCCATGTTTTTTGGGGCACAAGTCAGTCCATAACAAGTCCCTGATTGGAACCTCTGACTTCCATCAAACCAGTGTTCTCACTCTCCTGGTAGATGCCCTGCTCTCCCTCAATTCCATCTCCTAGTGTTTAGCCACTCCCTGCACATCTTCAGGGCCAGCTCACATGGCGGAGACCGTCTGTCACCTACTTTCTCCTCCTCACTGACCACCCTGGCTCTGACTACCAACAGCACCTAAGAGGCTGGGCAGCAGAGGCCTTAGTGGGACACCAGGGTGTTGATGACTGTCTTCCCTTGGTTCATCTTCTGTGGGCTCCTCTTAAACTGCCAAGTAAGTACAACTTGTCTTCTAGGCACTCAATGACCATGTCCTTTTGATCAGTGACTCAAAAGTAACAACAGTTGGTGTTTACGGAGCACACCTTTCCTGTACGCTCTCAATGGACCCGCGTGTACCACAGTTAACTTAGATCCTCCCAACAAACCCATCGGTGAAATGCTTCTTTTGTTATTGTTGCTGTTAGTTTCATTCTAACAAAAAAAGAAAGGAAAACCTGAGGTGTTGAACACATGGCTTATGTTCATAAAAATTAATGATAAACTTTAATAACAAAGCAAGTGAGATTAATTAAATAGAAACGATGCCGATTTAGGGGACATACTCTTATTTTTTTAACTTTTTATTGTGATTTGGGTAAAAGTTTACAGAGCAAATTCATTTTCCTTTTAATGGTTCATATACATTTTGTTTCATGACGTTGATTGCAATCCTTGCGATTTAACAGCTCTCTTCCCACTTCCTCGCTGTGGTTTACTATTTCCCTGTGTCCTTCTTTCCTATGCATTCCTGCCCTCTGAGCTGTCTCCCTGTACAAGTGCTGCCCTTCTGGTCTCCCGTAGTTGACTGTTCTAAGCAGTGTACCTTCCTGGTGTACATGTCTATCTTAGATGCCTGACTGTCTGTTGATTGGCTGGAAGCCACAGGATTTAACTCAGTTCCAGGCCTGAAGGTGAGTGGGGGCCACAGTCTCAGGGTTTCACCAGGGGGCCCTACTTTTTTTCCACTGTGATGTCTAATCATGTGCTGCGTGATGTTCATTCGGCCTACTGTATGTGGTTCCCATAAGGTTATAAAAGAGTTCAGAAATCCTGATCAGAGAACGGGGCACGTGAACACAACAGCTTCCTGCACACGGCGTGTGTGTCTCGTACCTCCTGTTTACAAAGTGATTGCACGGCCAGGCATATAATGGTTCAGTGCATACGTAACCTGTAATGCACAGGTCTCGATCGTTGGGAGAAACGCCTGTGTTCGGCTTATTTATGTACCATGCTTTCTATCTAAAAGAAACCCCACTGCCATCGAGTCACTTCCAAACCACCGCGGCCCTAGGGGACAGGCTGCCGATCTTTACGGAAGCAGAATGTCGTGTATTTCTCTCACAGAGAGGCTGCTGGGTTTAAACCACCCAACCTTTATGGTTAGCAGCCAGGTGTTTGAACCACTGCACCGCCAGAGCTCCTAAAGCGTTCACCATATTAACAGCATATGCTTCGACTCATAGGCAGTAGCATCCAGTCTCATGTATCACGTGTCTTGTGAGTGTTACGTCATCTGTTATGTAAATATTACTGTGAAGTGCATCATGGCTCCTAAACGCAGCAAAATGAGTGCTCCGGCAGCAGCAGTGAGAGGCAACGGGGAACCATTCATTGATTTGTGAGGGGAACAAAAGGTTACTAAACAGCACACCAGTGGGGACGCAGTGAACACTGTTGCTTGTGCTTTAGGCACTTTGCCCTCGACCATCATGACAATCCTCAAAAACAAAAGGAAAAATTCTCTAAGAAGTTAAAGGACCAGCTCCACGGAAAGCTACAAGGCTAATGAAAATGTGAGAAGGACCTACATCAGCTATGTAGAACTGCCAGTGGTGTGGATTGAGGACCAAACACAAAAGCAAATCCCTGCCAGCCCAGTGACGGTCACTGCTAAGGCACAAAGCTTGTTAGAGACGCTGACAGAAGAAGCAGGAGCTGACTGTGATGTGGTCGTACAGTGTCCAGATCACAGAACATCCTGTTCCACAGAGTGAGTCACGGACGTTCACTAATGCATGACTGGACTTAAATTTTCTTAAAAACAGGCAAAACAATTAAACAAAAAAAAATCTGAAGAACTTCAGTAGACGTTTTGCTCATCCCGGCCCCTGCAAACCATGAAAACACACAGGTGAGAAGCACAGAAATACGACACTAATGAGGAAGGCGAGACAGGCTCATTTCAAAAATATTTTTATTCTGTACTCAAATGAGAAGTAACAGTTAAGCAGAGAACAATGAGCAAGCCCACATTTGGAAAGACCGAGGTCCTCCAGTGTTTAAAAGACAGGAAGTTTTTATTTTTCTGATTCTAGAAATACATGTCCATTATAGAAAATTTGAAAAATGATACAGGAGGCAGCGCAAACAGTGACCGTCCCAGGATGCAATGATATATACGATCTCCTGTCTTCTGTACACATGGGATTTTTAACAGTTTGCCACGGTCCTTCCCTTTCCTACTCCAGCCCCAGGACGGGGACAGTGGCATGGCACCTCAGCAACACGGCATTTGCTCCTTCCTTACATGTACCCACCCCAAGCAGTGCCAGGGCCTCCCTGCCCCCGCCCCACAGCATCAAGTGACCTCCCAGCGTAAACTCTCAGCCGCTTTGGACTCCAGAGCACCCGGAAGCTTCAGTTCGGCCAGCGTCTTAAGGATGAACTGATCCCTTTTAAAAGTTTCTGTAGCGCTTTCAAGTTTAAAAGTTTCTTGCACGCACATGTAACCCTCACAATAGCTCTGGAGGTGGCACGGCCCCGCTTAACGAGAGGAAACTGAGGCACCAAGGGGTTGTGGAGTGGGCATCACTGCAGGTGGTCCCTGCAAGGTCAGAGGTCCTCAGGAAGCTAGGTCTTTTCTGACGCTGGACATGACGAGTCAGAAGGAGCTACGTGAATCATCCAGCCGAACTTCCTCCTCGTGTTCATGTATAAGGAAGACGCAGCCAGAGACGCTTGGTGAATGGTGACTTCCCAGAGTGCACAGCTAGGATCTGAGGGAACATATGCACGCTCCCTGGCGCCTGGACAGAGACGTCCTTGGCGAGCTGGCCTCGTGTGGCGTCTTCTGCTTAGTCGATGTCAGCCAGGAGTAAAAATCCTCCAGGGGAGAATGTCAGCGCTAAAACGGCCCTCAAAGACCACGCAGGCCAACCCCACCGCCTCGCAGTTGACAACTGGGGGTGTAAACTCAGAGCCAGGACTAGAACCCACACCTGGCTTCCAGCGTTCAGTCCTAGGCACCTTCTGCCCGTCGGGGTCCGTCCTTCTGGGTGCAGTTCCACACACGTCTGGCCCATGCTGGAGATGTTTACTTCCTCCTCTGACAAGTCAAAGTGAAACTAAACAGGAGCTGGCATTCCCAGGATGCGTGCTGACAGCGTGCCACCGCGACGGCGTCACAGAATAGGTTCCGCCGGGTTCCAGAAGGCTCCTGCCCCCGGGCCTTCCTCCGCCCCCCACCGGCTCGGGCAGGGGGCCTAAGGAGAGGTGTCTTAGGACAGGGCTTCGGCGGCCCTCCAGAGCCACCATTCCTTTCATCTGTGGGAAGGTGGCAAGAGTCTTGCTAAAGGGTTCTCCACCAATCAGCCAGGAGTCCTGGCGAAATCTAGCACTTCACCAAGGTGGCCACAGCTGCCAGGCACGCGGCAGCCTCAGACCCTCCTGGGCGGGCTGGGACCCGTCCAGCTCAGCACCCATATATGCCCCCCTGGTGCTTCTCAGGGAGTCCCATCGTTCAGCGTCCGGCTTCTGTCTTCAGTGAGACTGAAAGCTCTTTGAGAAGGGACCCCTTCTTCCCCGAACCCCTACGCCATGCCCAGCACAACCTTCAAGGAACCGACGGAAGGGTAAACAAGACCATGTGCGGAACCCGAATGCAGGCCTGGAGTGGCGACCAGGGAGCCCGGGAGCGCGCAGAGGCGCCGCTACGGCGGCTGCGGTTACAGGACCGCTCAAAGGGCTGTTGGAGTGGGACAGGCTAGGCGAGTGGGAGGGCCGGCTGGGCAGGCAGAGCAGCCGCAGCCGAGGCACAGAGCCAAACGCTGCGTTTAGAGCGACCGGCGTGTCGCCGCTGCTGGTGGAGTGGTGGGCGTCGGGGCTGGGGAGGCTGTGGGCCTCGAGAGGCGCCGCGGGGAGCGAGCCCGCAGGAGGG